TTCCTTCCTTCCTTCCTTCCTTCCTTCCTTCCTTCCTTCCTTCCTTCCTTCCTTCCTTCCCGGAATATAATTTTTTTGAGCCTCTCGATTTTTTCCCTTCGAAGAGAAGTGCTTCTCCTGGGAAGGCAATAAACCGCCGGTGATTTACCACCATGACTAACGGGAATCCTTGGGTGTGCAAGGCTGCTGCTTGGGTGATTTACACCAAGAACAAGGATTCACTCTTGGCTTACCGGATCCGTAAATTAACTTCTGCGGAACAGAGGAGTCTTCCGGGATTCCCGTAGCTGGTAGCCAGGCACGTTGCCAGCTTCTCTTTTAGCCAAATGAAGACCTTGAAATGCCTTGCTTGATCTGAGCAAGGTCCTGGCAAACCTCCTGGCTGAGACTAGCCAGAGACAGATTTAGATGGGTGGGGTGGGGTGGGGGGGCAAGCTTCTCCACGTTGGGATCTGGTCTTGACGAGCAGGTGTCAAGCCTTCGTCATCATCGTCGTTCCGGCAATTAAAGAGCACAATTTCTTCCCTTTTTTTTTTGCTGTCCCTACCCGATTTTTTATTTTCTTTTTAAACTTGGCTGTTCCCGCGTTCCTGAGTTACCCATCCTTGGTTGTGGAATTTCTGTGGGCGTGTACGTGTTCTTTTTTGAGACTGTTGGAAAAGAAAACAACAAATTTTGACATTCGCTTGTGTGTGTGTGTATGTGTGTGTTTCTCTGGCCTCGTTTATTTCTCGCCTCCACTTTATCAGGGTTTCTCGCAAAGATTAAATCCAGAAGTACACACAGATAACTGATTCAGCTGGATTCATTAACTTCTTTATATACATAATAACAGATGAAGTATTTACAATACCAGTATAGATTCTTCTTCAGCGTAGTAGCAGTTACAACACAAGGCAGGAGAGAACAGTTAGTTTCATTTCAGCAGAGCAGACAAGCAAGTCCAGGCTTGTTTAGTTTTAGTTTCAATTCTCTGCGCAGACTCAGAAGCTGCAGACTAAAACACGCCCTGGTTCCAGTCTGTCTCAGCTCCCATCTGGCTCCAGATCCTCTCTATGAGTCTAGGGAGGGCTAAAACAGACTTCCCCACCCCCTCGGAGGCCCTCCGAAGGCCAGAAACAGCCTGTTTCCCAACTTCCGATTGGACAGGAAGTGACTTTTTTGCTATCCCCAGCCTCTCTAAGAACAACACAGCTCTCACTTCGAGAACACCCAATTTTAAGTAGTTAATAAACAGCCATTTCCTTCTTAGATGGTGCCGATGTATTCTTTCGCTGCAGTAAACTGCAGATGCTAAAGAGACCAGACGGTCGTCTTCTCTTCGGAGGGTGATAAGTCCTGCTCCTTTGATCCTCTTCCCTGCAATTCCTCTCCAGAGGAAGCTTAAAAATAGATTTACACTGGCTCAGGCTAAATCTTGGTACCAAAGCTTCTGTTCAGTGGGCGTTCGGAGTTCTGGATTCTGATGCTCAAGCTGTCTGGCAAACGCTCCCTTTCTCTTTCTAACCTGCCTCAGTGGTCTTCCTCGCTCTGCATGCCAGGTGCCTGGGGCAGGGGTGGGCAAATAGAGGCTGGGAACACCTTTCCCCCTACAGCCTCGTCTTCCAGTCTGCCAAAGGAGGATCTGCTGGGCTTTATGACCAAGGCATGTCGGCCCCTGAATCTCTGTAATGAGATTCAACCATGTTAAGAGTTCGTTGTAGAAATCAAATCCAGAAAGCACACACAGGCAGACTGATGCAGCAGGATTCATTAACTTCTCTTCATATACATAATAACACGTGACTAAATGTACAATACCAACAGCAGATTCTTCCAACGTGGTAGACGTTACAGGCAGAGGAGAAAACAGTTCTTATTTTCGATTCAGCAGAGCAGACAAGCCCAGACTTGTTTAGCTCTCAACACAGATCCAGATCTGCAGAGCCACGCCCAGGCTCCTTCCAGTTTCAGTTTCTAATTCAGCTCCCATTGGCTGATCTGTTGCCTTGCCTATTCATTGGCTGACCAGCCACAATCGCTACCGGATTGTTCAGCAACCACATACCCCACATTCCCTTCTACTGATGAGGATCCCTAGCCAGGTACCCCAAGGGATGTCTGTATGTGTGTGTCTCTTGGAAGAGAAGTCCAAGGATTGGTGATGAAGGAGGTGTTGGTGGAAACGGCAAGCTTGGATTGGATTGGCGTGTTTGATCTATCTATGTTGTGACCCACAGATTCAGACAGTGAGGAGATTGGGGAGGAACATGGGCCAGTCCTGGAGTCTGGGGAAGGCTCTGATGAGGGCTCTGCATCGGAGACAGAGAGGGGGCCAGGGCCGTATGCCAGTTATCAGGTGCCTTCAGAGTCAGGATATCAGCGTTGCAACGCTGGTATAGAGAGAGAGAGCAGAGGAGAGCGAAAGATAAACTCTGAAACTTTTGCCTGATAAATCCCTTTGAAGCCTGGTTGTCGTGGAGATGAGGGGAGGGGGCACATTCCTGGGAAATGACGAGGAAAAGAAGTCTGAAGAATGACTTGGAAGACAGCCAATGAGAAGCAGAGATTTGGGGATCGGAAAGGGAGGGATTGGGAGGCAAAAGGTCAGTCTTGTCCGCGCGGAGTCAGGATCCGGTGGCTGAGCTCAATTAAAGAAAGATTTCCTTAAAGATTGGCAGTTTGGAAATTCATTTAATTTTGAGATAGCACCGCAGTCTGACACAGACATCAGTGAGGCAGACGAACAGCTAGAGCTGTTCGGAAGGATGGAAGGCTGAGTCAACCTTGAAGCCGGTGAGAATCGAACTGCCGGCAGCCGGCAGTCAGCCGAAGCAGCCTGCAATACTGCATTCTAACCACTGTGCCACCAACTTGCCGCGGGACAAAACACTAATATCGAAGAAATGGTGGAAAGGAATCATGAAAGAAAGAAGGGGCAGAATGAAAGGCGAATGACAAAAATTAAAAAAAAAATTTACATTATTCTAAATAATTTGAATTGAATTGTCCCATGGTGAGTTGGCTACAGCGGGTTGGCCGCAACCAGTTGTCCCATTTCTCATTCACTTTGGCCTGGCTGCCTTAATTCTAACCAAGGACCAGGAGTGACTCCATCTTCTTTCTCTGTGGCTGGTTTCTCTGATCTGGATTGGATTTCCAAGTACGTAGCCTAAGGTAAAAGTAAAGGTTCTCCTCGCACATATGTGCTAGTCGTTCCCGACTCTAGGGGGCGGTGCTCATCTCCGTTTCAAAGCCGAAGAGCCAGCGCTGTCTGAAGATGTCTCTGTGGTCATGTGGCCGGCATGACTCAACGCCAAAGGCGCACGGAACGCTGTTCCCTTCCCACCAAAGGTGGTCCCTATTTTTCTACTTGCATTTTTTTTAACGGGCTTTCAAACTGCTAGGTTGGCAGAAGCTGGGACAAGTCACGGGAGCTCACCCCGTTACACGGCGCTCGGGATTCAAACCGCTGAACTGCCGACCTTTTGATCGACAAGCTCAGCATCTTAGCCGCTGAGCCACCGCGTCCCTCAGGTTGCGCAACATCGTGAAGCTTCCCAGCAAATCCCCTTGGAACAAATAAGCGAAGGCCTCTTTAACAACAAGCCCAACGCGGAGAAATCTTTTTTTTTTTTTTTTGGCATGGTATTCTTTCCTTAAATTAGCAACATCTCGCTCGTTTACAAGGCTCCCACCCATTAAGCAAATGCACTTTAAATTGATTTCAAATTAGCAGATTAATGGTTCTCTCCATCTCCCGGCTGTCCAATTCAGCAGTGGGTCCTCTTGAGAAGTTGGGTAGAGTTTGAGGGACCCCAAAAGGGACGTTAAAAGATTTCTCTCTCTCTCGCCACCCAATCCCTAACTGGACCAATTTTTGGTCACGTTCCACGAGGGGATATTGATTTACATAAAAGAGAAAGGGAATAAAACTGCTGACTTTTCCTATCGGGGGCTGAATAAAAAGAAGGGGGAAGCAAAACCCTCTAAGAATTTGCTGGATCAACATTTTCTTCCCCTTAAACGGCGTCTTTCCTTCCTTCTTCACCCCCCTTCTCCCCACTTTTCTATTAACTCTCCCGGTAAATGCACTTTAATGCGGCTGAATTGATTGGGGATTGTTAAATAACCTTCAGATTTATAGCCCCATTAAAAGTTTCCCCCCCTCCCACCCTTCGCTGTTTGCACAATAATGTGGAATGCTACACAATACTCCCCATCTCCATAAAAGCCCAAACTTCGCCCCCAACCCACCCTCCATCCTTCTCTATCTGCGCCATCCACATTTCGCAGAGGGTCCAGGAGGCGCTATGTGAGAAGTGAGAAGAGAAGCCGCAGGCCCCATTTCCCGTGGCGGAGATAAGCAGAGGAGGAAGACGTCAGCGGGACAAGTTCAAATCTGAACAGAAAAGCTATTGTTGAAGTTGTGATGGGTTCAGAGGTGGCCTATTCAAGAGAGTTTGCCCCCCCCAGGGAGAAAATAACTCGGATCCTGTGATTATTTGGATTGAACGGTTGGGGAGGGGGCTCCCCCAAATATCTTCCCTACAGGGCCGTAGGAGTATAAAAGCCATGAACCGGAGACGAATTCATTTGTTTGTCCTTTCACACTTGGCCAATAAAGAATTGAATTCCTGTTCTGTTCTGTTCTGTTCTGTTCTGTTCTGTTCTGTTCTGTTCTGTTGTGTTCTATTCTATTCTATTCTATTCTATTCTATTCTATTCTATTCTATTCTATTCTATTCTATTCT